GGCAACGCAAGAGGAACAAGCTGTTCTGGGAGGTGAGCAGTCCTTCCTGCCTGGTCTCTGCAGGCCTCGGTTGGCCTTTTGACTCATGGTTCTTTTTTAAACAAGCGGACCAGTGTCGAGGAGGACCTGGTGTGGTGAAGTGGGCTTGGAAGGAAGGAGAGGCTGCAGTCCTCTGGGTCGCACCTCACCCTGTCCCTGAACTCAGGCCCGTTGTGTTTTCACCTCCCATTCAGTGTTCCCTCTAAGCTGAGTTAGTGTGAGCAATCTCACAGTTTTTTAGCCTCCGGCTCACACATTTTTGTCTCTCCGCTCAGGAAGGAGGGCTCCAGAGCAAACTCATTTATGCAGCAGCCAAATTGCTCACTCACAACTGTAATGCCGGTAGTTCACAAAATAGAATTTTTGCTCACAAGACTCCAAGGCTTAGAGGGAACTCTGCTCCCATTTGCATTTTTGGGGGAACTTATTTATTTGATTTATAGACCACACACCCCTATCCACAGGGCTCAGAGCGGCGAACCACATTTCAATAAATACATTTACAGTTGTATTAAAACCAGTAAAACAGTAACAAATTCTATAACTATTCAGATAGCACGAAAACCAATGTATGTCAATATACTCCAGGAGGGGGGGGGAGAGGAGAGATGGAGGAGGCCAGGCTGGATGGAACTGGCTGGGGGGGGGGGGGGGAGAGATGGAGGAGGCCGGGCTGGATGGAAAACCATTGCCATTCTCAACCCTAGGCCTGGCAGAACGCCTCTGCCTTGCAAGCCCTGCAGAACGGCACGAAGTCCCACAGGGCACGGATGTTGTTTGGCAGAGAGTTTCACCAGGTTGGGGGCCAGGGCCAAAAAGGCTCTGCTTGAGGACAGCTGGATATCTTTCAGACTGGGGACCCCCATGTCCCAGACCGTTTAGAGTCTTAAAGGTTAATATCAGTACTTCGGATCTGATCTAGTATTCAACCTGGAGCCAGTGCAGCTGGTACAGCACCGGTTGGATGTGTGCTGTCAGGGGGGTTCCCGTGAGAACCTGAGCCACTGCATTCTGGACCAGCTGTAACTTCCGGGTCAGATTCAAGGGGAGCCCTGCATAGAGTGAGCTGCAGTAGTCTAGCCTGGAGGTGGCCGTTGCATGGATCACTGTGGCCAGGTCAGGGCAAGACAGAAAGGGGGCCCAGTTGCCTGATCTGGTGCAGCTGGAGAAACACCAGTCTGGCAGCATTCGTGACCTGGGCCTCCGCTGGTAAGGAGCCTTCCAGGAGTGCGCCCAGGCTCTTAGTGGTCACCACCCCAGGCCTGATTCCCACGCAGCCAGCCACAGAACCGCCATCAGGTTGGTGTCGTGGTTAAGTGCACGGACTCTAATCTGGGAGAACCAGGTTTGATTCCCCACTCCTCCACATGCCACTGCTGGTGTGACCTTGGGCAAGCCATAGTTCTCTCAGAGCTGTTCTCTCAAGGGCAGTTCTCGAGAGAGCTCTCTCAGCCCCTCTTACCTCACAAGGGTGCCTGTTGTGGGGAGGGGAAGGGAAAGGAGATCGTAAGCCACTCTGAGGCGCTGAGTGAAGGGTGGGGT